GAACAAGTTTTTGCCTCGTCTAACTTGACCCCCTCTCCCCCCCAAGAACATCCCGAATGTATGTAGCTAACATATATCATAGCTAAAGTGAAAGGTTGTGTGCGGTTCCTTCTTCTCGTCGTTCTTCTCGTCGTTGTCCATACATTGCGCTTCTGCTTTGCATGCGTTGTTCTCAGGTTTTGCACCTGCACTCACGTATCTATCGTTTTTTGCAGACTCAGACTGCTTGGAAATCCCCATGCCACACATGTCCTCATTACTCTCTTGTATCATGTCTGACGGAATGCTATGTATGTTTGCTGCTTCGCACGGTCTACTTCGCTCATTGTGTCACATGTCATATAATTGTCTTCTTGCTTGGCAGGCTATACTTTGCATCCCCCAATTTCATCTCCCTGTTCTCTTATTGTATCATAACGCACGTCATTTCATGTAGGCTCCTCTGTTGCTCCAGCTGTGTTCTGGATGATGCTGTTACTTTTTCTGCTCTGTTGCAGTCTTTGCTCTTGACGCAAAAGGTAATCCGCATCTTGGGACCATTGGCTGAAAAGGCCGGCGGAACAACCCGCAGGGTGTAAATACGTAGCCGAGAAATTAGTTACTGAATACGTAGCAGAAACGAAGTAACGCCGTGCATGGAACCTGGGGGACGTATCATGAAAACCACCATGAAAGCAAAAAAGAGAGTAGAATAGCGTGGACAACAATTAAGCCGCCGGTACGTTTGCACCTAGGTGGGGGGTGCCTTCGTTGGCTGGAGACAATCCACCTGGCTCCGGCCTCCGGCGGCTTTAAACAAACTCAAAAACCTTGGAAACAGAGTAACAAAAACTCCTAGAGACGGAGGTGGGCAACAGTTGATTGCAGGTACGTCGGCAAGCGTCCTTGCCGATATCCTAGGATCATGTGAGGAGCTTCGTTGGATGGAGCCTCACATGTCCTCTCCATCCCCTGCGTAGAAACATGAAAACGTGGAAGAAAGCCCTTCGGGACAGGGTTTGACACGCTTCGACATTGGTTTTCAGTTAACTCAATTTCCAGGAAAAATGGTGATGGAACGGCACGGTGAAAAGTCCAATGAGTTGAAGGTGTTTCAACAAATGGTTTGCTCACAACTGCAGTGACAAGCTGTAAAACGCGCGGCTGCTGAAAGTGGCTGAGAGAAAATGGTTTGAGGGGTAGGTAGCATGAAGGACCATGAATCAAACCGATCAAATTGGACAGCGTGTTCAAAAGTTGTAGCAGGTACGTCAGTGCTGGCCGGGCACTGATATCAAATCCACTTGGTGCGGTCTTTGTTAGATGAGGCACACCAAGGCATCCTCATCCCCCTGCTGGAAATTGGTTGAAAGAACCCTTTGAGACAGGGCTGGACACACACACGGTGCCGCTTGGCGGCGCTCGCGTGAGAAACCTGAATAGATACCTAAAAAGCGTTAGAAACGAAAGAAAGAAAGAAAGACAGAAAGAGCAGCGCTAAGAGGGCAAGAGAGAAAGATAGGTGTAGAAAATGAAAAATGAATACTTAGCACTTGACTGGGGTAGGGAAACGAGCCTCAAAAGCTACCTAAAAAGCCTGAGAGAAAGCCCAACAAACGACGAAAAGCGCAAGAAGGAAAAGGGGGGGCAGGGAGGGGATGTATGTCCATGTGTGTGTACGTGTGTTTGAATACCTAGCACTCTAGGATTATACTGAATACTTAGACGAAAAGAACTACGTGCGCTAGTTAGGGAGCGGGACTTTTGTCTTACACCGCCCGGGTAGAGTAGACTAGAAAAGGATGCGCCGTGCGTTGGCAGGGGGGGTAACTGGGGGTACTAGTGAATTGATAAAAACAAATTAATTGATTGGGACCTCAGTTATTTAATCACATTATACTAAAAGCAAATTAGTTTTCTTCAAGAACTACCAGTGCCCCCTCCCTCTAATATCAATTAATTAAGGAAGATCTCTGATATGATTAATTAGGAGTACCTAGAGTAGCAAGTCTCTAAATTAATCTGGCCAGCCTGCACATCAAGCCAAGAATTAACTGCAGAGTCACGCACATCTGAAACACCCTTCAATTAATTTCGCACTTTTTCTCGCCCTGCGTTTCTGCGTTTGTCATCGTTGGTCCTGTTCTGTCTGGCGGCCCCTTCCGCCAAACCCCCTACGTCATCCTACGTCAACTCAATTAAACTGCATAGTCTGCCCAGATACCAGAGAACACGAAAACTTGCTCAAAAAACAAGATAGAAATGAACAATGAAGAAGATGGTGAGAACTTGCGAAGCTACAGTGAAGAAGAATACTCCGCCTGCCGTATGCTTTGTAGCCGGGCAGGCACACGCATGTGTGTATTGAATTGATAATCCTGTCTGACATAGACTGTATGAAATTAATTTGCAGGTCGTTGAGTTGTTGCAACCCCCCCCCAGTATTAAACAACTGATCTCCCATGGCCGCGGTTCCAGGAGAATCCACAATACGCATCGGCAACCGCACGCGAACAACCACGAGCCAGAATCAGGACCCCTCCACTAACTGAAGTTTGCCAAAATTAATATTCATCATTGTCATTGTCAGCAATCCTGTTATATATAATAGGTCGAATTTCAGAAAATAATCAAAAAAATTGAACTCAGTAGGTACCTCCAATTAATTTCCTAACGCTGCCCGCATAGAAAAGGGACAACAGAGGGAAAGGCACCGACACACAAGTGTGTCGAGTACCATTTCCCTATGTTACCCTAATTAGGTAGGGAGTAGAACACAGTGGGGGGGGTCGGGAGACCTGCCTCAAACGGGGGTGAAAGCCGTTTTTAAGCCCGGCGGCTATCAAATTCGTTTTTTAGCCCGACGGCTGTATGAGCAGTGAACTCAGGGTGGAAGAGTGGCAGTGAGGAAAGTCAAGGAAGGAAACGACGAGCCAGTGAAATGAATTCCGGAATGAGTACGGCGCCTCCTTGCGGAGGATCACACCCAGCACCCATGTGGGACGGCTGAGCGGCTCACACTTCGACATTGGTTTTCAGTTAACTCAATTTCCAGGAAAAATGGTGGTGGAACGGCACGGTGAAAAGTCCAGTGAGTTGAAGGTGTTTCAACAAATGGTTTGCTCACAACTGCAGTGACAAGCTGTAAAACGCGCGGCTGCTGAAAGTGGCTGAGAGAAAATGGTTTGAGGGGTAGGTAGCATGAAGGACCATGAATCAAACCGATCAAATTGGACAGCGTGTTCAAAAGTTGTAGCAGGTACGTCAGTGCTGGCCGGGCACTGATATCACATCCACTTGGTGCGGTCTTTGTTAGATGAGGCACACCAAGGGATCCTCATCCCCCTGCTGGAAATTGGTTGAAAGAACCCTTTGAGACAGGGCTGGACACACACACACACACATCATCATCATCATCATCATCATCATCATCATCATCATCATCATCA